TGAGACAAGGCTAACATTCATGTTAGCAACTTAATAGTTTTAAATTACCTACTGCCTCCTACCACACCTGCACTTATAACATCAGCTAATCAGTGGAGTATTTCTAGTCTTCTCAAAGATGACCCAACAGAACAAGACAGCATTTTTGCCTGCACTGATGAAGGCCGTTATTATCCAGCACCACTGTCACATGAAAACATTCACACTCATACTGTCACACATACCTGGTGGTGGTGCAGAAATGTCCTCTGCTACAGCAGCTTCAATAACATCTTCTACAGCCACAGGCTCAGGCTCAAACACAGCTGAGGACACAGGGGGATCATGTTGAGGAATGAATGAGCAGTGAATGAAAAAGGTTTCCATTTTTAAAATTCAAAAAGCACTTTAATTTTCTGCCCATGCAGATTATTAAAATGAGCAGTTCAACTTTGATGGCTCGTCTGTATGTTAAAAGGTCCACTGCAAACATCAGATACACTAAAATGTGAATATCTTACTATGCTTCACTGCAGCTTCTTCTCACAGGAGCAGAGTAAACAGTGTTGTTTCAGCTTTGTTTATTGACATTTTGTGTTGGTTTTATTTTGATTTCAATTTTTCTAAACAAAATAAATTTATTGACCACATGTCTGACCCTGTCTATAATCCCTCCCAATCATCACTTATGACCCACTTTCAGTGCGGTGGTGTATTTTTCTGGAGAGACTCTGCCCTCTGCCTGAATTTTCTAATTTTCTGTGTTCAGGATGTTTATGGGAGTGTACCCCCACAGCGCTCATAACAAGTTAGCAGCACAATTGCAGATAGGCACAAGTATCTGACAATTCTGCATAGTATATGTTTAACAATCCATTTATAAAGAAAACCTTTAAAGAAGGTTGTTAGCTTTTCAACAAAACAATTTTAGCCACCTAAAAAAAAGTCCCACCTAAAAAACAACAATCAGCTCAAGTGTATGCTATATTGAGAGTATTTCACGGCTTTACCTTTCTGTCAGAAAGGGATTCTCTCAGGGAAACTAAATCTATTATAGCACTCTCTTCAAAGCCAGACTTCACTGAGAAAAACTCATTGAACTGATTCAATAGTCGCTGAACATAATAGCTGCTGGTCTACTGCTGCCTCAATCAGTTAGGTTGTTTGTGTTATTGTGTGACTTCAGTGTTTTAAAGGATTGGCTCTGATTCACTGTAGTCACACAAAAACACAAACTAACTTAGTGTCTGGGGCAGCGGTGGACCAGCAGCTCCCGTATTCAGTGAGCTAAAGTTTTTATCAATGGAGTTTGGCAGCTTTGACGAGAGCACAGATCGGCAACTACAGCTGCAACAGCAACCCTGTTGGAACGGGCTTCCTGACAGAAAGGTATGGGGGTGAAAATACTCTTCAAGTAGCGTACACTTACACTGATTTATTTTTTTTTAGGTGACTAAAATGTATTTTGCTGCTGCTTGCGGAACGTGAGTGTATGGGCAACTTTTATGGTACCTTCTGGTGTTGCTTCAGCTTCAGCAGCTTCCTCTGGAGCAGCGGCTTCTTCACTACGGGCAGTGACCACAACAGCCTTCTCTTTCAGTCCTACATGAGATGAATGCACATGTTGCTGGCAGGAAACACGTTTGTGTACAGACTCTTTAAACATGCTGACAAATATCAGCCCATATTTAATGATTACGCGTTTTGAATATTACTGATGTCATACACAACTTATGAAGATACAATACATACAATTAATTTAGCTGGTACTGCTGGACAGTGGGGAAAGTATATGATGTACTATAAATGAACAGGAACTAAAAATGTGTTGCAAATAAGGTATCATATAACACTGCATTCACATATCAACATTTCCAATCAAACCATCTGAAAAAGGCATGGGGTTTCTTTTGCTGACTGACTGACTGACTGACTGAAGTTAACAATAACAATGTCCAATTATCATTTGTTTCAAGCTGACAAACATCAGCGTTACATTTCATTGCATATTTTTGAGAAGTAATTTTGTTTTCAAATCACTTGTCATTGATGTAATGTGGTAAAAAGTTATTTTTTAGGTGAAAGTCCAACTGAGTGTTTGTCTGATCTCCATTTCCATACTTGCCCCCAACATACATTCTGGAGGAACCACAGACACATGTGACTTTGATGTCAGAAAAGAGGCATTTCCTGGGATCCAGAAACTTTATTGACAAAAGAAAACAACACATTTATGATAGTGGAACACAAATCTCCCTAAATTTAGAAAAACTCACATCTTGTTACAAGTTAATAACAGTGGAGAAATTGGTGGTCTAGTCAAATCTAAACAAGATCAATAACACTATATCACACTCGGAACCAACACTATCAGGGTATCTTGCAGTGCTTGTTCCGACCCCTGCAATTTCAAGCTCATCATTTTCCATCACTCCCATCCTTCCCAATCATCCCCGTCTATGCTGACCCTTTAAGTAAAAGCACTGATGGTGTACTGTGGAAAATTCTGTGAAAAAATGTAAGCTGTACCAACATCTGTACCAGTGATTTCCAACTGGTTAGTTTACAACCCAGAAGTGTGGCAAAGTTCTCTCATGGCACTTGGTGCTTGGCGCTGTCCACTGTCTAATCAGCCTTGATTTTATGGGTCAACACAGTCCCTCGAGTCTCTCTCATGGTCATAGAAGTAACTAGCTAGCTCCAGAACATGGCCGAAAGAAACTACGACACATTGTTACATTTACCAAACATAATAAGCCTGTCTAGCTGGAAAATTACCTTTCTTTATGATATTTTCAGTAAAGCAACTGCTGTTTTCCTATTGTTAGGCCTATGAACATATACTTAGCTACTTTTTCATTTGTTGGGTTAAAATCCTCAAACGGCACATTGTTGTCGTTTTTAATTTTGTGAAATAATATTTAGTAAGTGATCGGTTGCCGTGTGCACCATAATTACTGAGGAGAGTACCCACCAGTTGGTTACCACTCCATCTGTGCATAGACCAAAAATGGCTCGGTATTATTTGACTTCTTTGTCAATATGATATAAT